AAATATAAAAGCATGTATGAGTGTGTGCGACTCTATCTAAATATATGTATCATAGATTGTTCTCAACAATTCTGAGCTGTTAGATTTTTATGAAAACAATTATAAACTTATAGTTGTTAGAATGTATGTTTTAATTATTAATTTGTTATTTAATTTTTAATACGCTTTGTTATAAGTCCTTACAAAAAATATATTATAATTTGAAAAATTACTATTTTAATAAAAACCTGTAATATATAATTATGCGGCTCAGAAGAATTATAGGTGCAAATTTTTTTTCGTTTTGATAAAGTATGAACTCTACTATTTTAGAATATTTTATACTGTATTATGTTACTATATTATGTTTCTATTAGATTATTAAAAATTTTTTTAATACTAAATGCATAGAAATTAAAAGAAAATAGCGAATAAAAAGTAGTTTCTAAATAATTTCTTAGAAGAAAAAGTAGTAATAGTTTTTATTAGTTAATTTAGTTTTAACTTTTTATTTTAATATTAGAAATTACGTATAAGATTATTTTATGATTTAGTATAAGTTTATTAAGTAACATTCTATTATACTTATTAAAAACATGAAGCATAGTACATAATTTAATTTTACTTTTATGGGTAATTGTGCCATTATTACAAATAAATTTCCAGTATATTTTATGACAAATTACAGAAATATAATTCTTTTTATTATTAAAAATATCTCAGTCAAAAAATTGTTAATATCGGCAAAAATTATTTAATAAAAAATGTAATAGTTAAATAAGACTTAAATACGTATTTGTAAGCTGTAAGCATAAGTTTAAGAAGTGAGATTATTTTTACAGGTATCAAAGAATTAATTAATATACGATACAAATATATACATATACAAATTTACAGAAATAAAAAATTCAGTTTAATAACGAGAAATAATAACTGATAGCTAATAAGTTTTAATATTAATATTAATATTGTATGCGCAGATTTTAACATAAAATTGATGCATTTAATCCTCCTTTTGTGGGTTTTATTAACATAAGTGTTGGTAAATATTTTCCTGTATTCTTACGATATATTCTTACGAATATATGAGCTTTGAACTTTTATAATTCTGAAAATATTTGGATTGGTACCTCAAAAACAAATCAACTTCACAAAAACGAGCTTATAGCTGAGATAAGGAAAAATATTTAACCATATCATAATAATAATACAAACATTACCACAAAGGAGGATTTATGATATCAATGTGTTATAGTAGTAATCTTTTTGTAATTTAAAAAAGTGCAGACAGTTGTATTATCGTTTAAACACATTTAAAAATTTATTTTATCTAGATCACTTAATACAAAATGTCCTTAATCGTCGGTAATAAAGATTTAAGCGATTTATTTGTGTTGTAGCACATAAAAAAGTGCTCACTACCTCGGATATGTTAAGCAATCTGTATGCAATCGCCACTAAGAGGTAGATAAGAAATATAATATGAAATTCTCCTAGTACTTTGTTTTTATGAGTATAAGAATTCTGTATACAGATTAATAAACAATTAAAAATTTAGAATATAAACCTATTATTAAGTCCTTTCCTATAAAATATAGTTCCTACCGATCTATTACTTCTAATTAAAATGAAAGTTAACTTGAGACATTATGCGATAGGAGATATATTTCTCTGTGAGAAGTGATCATATTATTGCCACATTCATAATCTGTTCTAACAGACGCTATCTATGCAAGGTAATGAATCTATGAGATATTCTAACTTTTTTAGTTTAATATAAATTTTTAGCCTTTTAGATATGAATAATATAATTACGTAATTATAAAAATATAAGTAATACATTCAGA